AATCTTGAATGCTACTATAATGACATTAATAATACATATATTTCATTACTGTATGGAAAGTGAACTGTGTAGCCCTATACTGATATTAAAAAAAGGTTTATTGCATTGCACATACAAATAATTTACCAGAACTGCTGCATAAAACATGTAACACTTACAGCTTTTCTGCATGCAGGTCTAAATTACATCATAACTATTTATCAGGAGTGACTTTATCACTTAATGCTCAGTCTTTCACAGATAAAATGTTATTCCAGAAAACTATTACAACACTTCATTTCTGACATTGCTTGAGAGACCTTATGTAATTCAATCTCATCCTTGAGAAGAAGCACCAAACATCACTGGCTACTCTACCACTTCTTATCCACACAGCAAACTCTCAACTTCAGCTCCTCCGTCACTTTCCCTCCTCATTGCAGCTGAATTTCACCTCGGGCACTGCTGCCAGAAGGGACCAACCAGCAACAAAAACAAAGAGTTTGAAGCCCTTTGAAGTTTCCAGCAGACTCAGGAATTGTGGACTGGAGTGATATTTCAGCTCACACCACAAGTACAACTGTAATTCATACACATCATCACCAAGATGTGGAGGGCAAGCAGAAAAAAGGGCAAGACATGCATAGGCAACTTTTAAATATACTGCTTTCTCTTATATGAAAGTAGCCCTATTAGCTGGTTTGCTTTTTTTCACTGAGAGCTTTCTGTATGCAACATTTTCCCATTGCATCTTTCCCCCTTTTATGCTGTTCCAACACAGATCAAGAGTTCCAGATTTTTTACAGCCACTCCATGGTAGATTATAACCTGTTACACTACCAGTCTCCTTTCTTGTACAACACCAGCAGTCACAGATGAGAAATCATTCCCATCAGGGCCCAAGGGAATTTTTTGTTCAGCTCTTTCTATAAACAGGTGCAACTCCTAGATCAGAATTCATCTGGCTAGCAATTTTTAATTGTATTAATTACCATGCCTTTGAAAAGACAGCATCAGAACACCAATGTAACATATAAGTTAAGTCATGAGGAGAGAGTACAAAGGCTTGGTTCCTCTCTTGAGCAGGCCCAAGGAGGCTCTTGCAGCAACCTCAGCCTCAGGAGAAGCCATCAGACATCCTAAATTACACTTTCAAAACCTGCTGTCCCCAACAGCTTTTGGAGGATTATGGGAGCACAGCACTGGGTTAAGCTCCTGTTTGTGATCTCTCGTCTCATTTTGTGCCTACAGCCAAATCAAATGAGTATCCAGGCCAAAAGGTTTTAAATTAATCCCTCCAAATAAAAAAATAAAAAAATCCAGTAGATCTACTGAAACATTTTATGTTGGCCTGTAAGACAACACATGGTGGTACAAAGTACCAGAGGGTGCTCTGGAGCTCTGCAGGTAAAATATTTTATCAGTCCATCTGCCACATCAACATATCAAACGAGCTTGTATGAGGCTACTATCAACACCAAGATCTTGTGCTTATTTCTCATGCTTTTAGCTAAGTAGTTTAGCAAACACCTTTTTTAGAAGACTGCAGTGTATTTTGTCCACAGTAATACTCTTTAGAAACTTGGGGAGAAAAGGTGCAAAGCATTTTGTACTTTACCAGGTAAAAATTCCAAAATTGAATAAAATGGCAAATTACTTCCTACAGCTATTAGGGAACAGAAATATGAGACTTAAGAAAAGGGACACATCTGTTCTGCAAAAAAAAGTCTTTGAGGAGAACTACAAGAATAAGAGAAACTGAAAAAAACCCAGTGAACTTGTATGGAAAAACAGCAGAAGGCATATTGCCAACAGATGGTGAAGAAGTCATACACCAAAAAGGAAAACAAAGTTGAAAGCATACTCAATTTTGAGCACTTGAGGAAAAAAAACCAAAACCAAAGCTAACTCCTTCCTAATCACAGATTCCCTGGTTAAAAATGGAGCTGCATGTTCTTAACACTTAGGGAAGCAGTTGTAATTTCTGAGTTCTAAAATGGAGGCATTCAAAATTAGCATCTGTCTATGAAAATGTTGGTCCACTCTTGAAATCACTTCCTTCCTCCCTGCTATGAAAACACACTCTTTTTTTTTGTGTGTTTTCATTTTTTTCTCGTGTTAGTGGTTAAGCTCAATGCACTGGAAAATATCTGATGCTTTAATGGGCCACTTTCTTATTAATTCAGACACCTGTTTAAAAAGATGCTTCCTCTCTGAGGCCTTTCTGCAGCAGCTGGTAACAGCTACTGCCACAGGAACCAAGAGACAAGTATTTATAGAGCCTCTCAATGAAAGTTATTCCCCATTATTCTCTGTGTCCATACTGTTCAATCCAGTCCTCAACCTGATTTTTGGAAGTAGGAATTTTACACAGCCAGTTTAATAGCACTCACTGATCAAAGGAATTTGACATGCTCTACTGCAGTTTTTACTGGGGAACTCAATAGGTAAATAAACACTAAGGCATAACAAGAGTCCCACATGAACACCCCGGCACAATCATGTCAGAACACAAAAAAGTACTTTAAATGTCAAAATAACACAGAAGTCATCTTCTGCAATAACCAGAAGTCTCTCTTCCCCCAGCAAACCTCCTTCCCTTAGTTTGCATACCTTGCAAGAGCTGTTCAGGAAGTTGACACACTGTTGCTGCAAACCAAAGAGCAACAGACACATCAGATTTAACTCTCTTCCAAAATATGCAGCTGAAACTTCACCAGTCAGCTTCAAAACTGTTCACCTTCCAGTTTCTCAAGGCTAGTTGCCACAAGTTTTCAAACTTGTTTTATCCCCTTCCTTGCTTTCATTCCTAATGTCTACACATTATACACAAACTCTGGTTAAGACACTGAAAGAAGTAATTACCAGGAACAAGGGTAGAACTTTCCCATTTGTAACTCTGGCTCTGAGCAGCCACTTGAAAGTTAAAATGGGTGACTTACTTCTAGCACAAAAGTAATACTGGAGCACCAGCAATTGTTCGTACTTAAGAGTTTTGTGTAGCTTGTAAACATTAACTAATTTAAAATTATAAATCCCTTCAACCTCTTAAGTGCACAAAATGCTGCATAATACTGTAGCTAAGGCCTATCTTTTTTTTAAGTCACAATCCATTGTGGTTCAAAACCTGTGGAAAGAGCAGCTTTGATTTTGACTATGAGACGCTAAAGGCTACCCTAAGGTGAAGCTTTAGGAGCTGCCAGGATCAGTGGAGGAGTTTTCAGGACAGACAGTGATGTCTGACACAGCCAAGTGCCTGTGGGCACATCACCTGATGCTGCCCAGGAAGGTTTGCTATGAATACACTTACTCCATAATAGACACCTGTGGGTTCATTTATTTCACTGTCTGTCGGGTTCTCAGTCAACCATCCACACTTACAGACAAGTTTTTTTTTTCATCAAGAAAAAAATTTTAGAAACCTCTGACCACAGAGGAAGAGTCCTTATCTATGCCAACATCCACACTAGAAGGCCTGCATAAGGCATAAACCTGACTGGTGACTCTTGCAAGAGCTAACAGGTTGCTTTCAAAGGGAAGAACAAGAAAACAAAAACCTTACAAGTCTTCCTAGAGTCACAGATATAAATGCAATAATTGCACAAACAGTCAAACTTTTTATGCTGATTTGACAAAAATACAATGAACTTCTAAACCTCATGGACCGTTCAGGCTTAAATTAGAACAACACAACCTTTAAAAAGCTTGATCTGCCACCAGGCACCTTCTGTTGACTGGACTTCAGCAGACATAGTTCAGAAATCAGAACACAAAAATTCCTCACATCATGGAATTTATTCTGGCATTCAGCTTTTGCACCCAAACAAAACAATCAGGCACACGCTGCCAAGAAACATCAGTGCAGCTTCAGGGCACCAGCAAGGGCTGCTACGTGCAGGGCTTCTCTTCAGCACTCTCGGGGCTCCTACCAGGGTGGAATTCTTGAACTCGCTAAAGCATTTGTAGATTACACGCCTGTCCGGTTAAATACTTCCTGCAATTTTGTTAATTATACATCAGGGTCTGCAATTAGGGAATGACTCCCATCTTAGAAAACATACAGCTCTCAAGTCACCCCCCTAGAATGTGTGTCTACTGCCGTTTCTGCAGATGCCTCTGGTATGTATGTATGCTATTAACCCAGACAGGAAACTACTTTCAAAACTTGAATAGAATGTGCAGCTCTACCACTGGATGGTTTTCCTTTTCATCTTTGAGTGCTGCAGACCGTTTGTTTAGGTCAGTACACATTTCTGCGGGTGGGGGTGGAGATCTCCGGGGGCAGACAAGTGCAACCCCAAGTCCAGGTTCCCTTTCCGTGTCCATCCCTTCCAGAGGCGGCCAAGCTCAGGCATTCACACCGTCTCTATCCGCCCTCCACATCGGCGCTATCCTCCGCTGTCAGCAAAGCCACCAAAGCAAATACCGGGCCTTTTCCTTCTTTCCCCCTTGATTCGTCATCAAGATGTAAATTAACAGATTCTCTCAGAGACAGGGAAAAAAAATCCCAAGAAACCCACTGAACAATGGGAAACAGTTCCCCGCCGGTGCCCCATAGGACGGAGGGAAACAGGATCCCCTGCGCCGGGGGAGTTACTGAGCGGGGATCAGATGCTGCTAAAAATACGGGAGCGGAGCGAGCGGGCCCGGGCAGAGCCCGGGCAGGGCCCGCGGTCCCCGTCCCGGAGCGTCCCCGCGCCAGACGGTGATGTCACCGCCGGCGGCAACAAAGGACGCGGCACCGGCCGGGCGGCCCCTGCCCTCCGCCCCCCGCCCCGCCGGCGGCACCGCGCCTCCCGCCCGCCCGGAGCGCCGGCACCGGCCGAGACAAAGCGGCTTCCCCCGCGCTACGTGCGGGCGGAAAGGGAGAGGTTCGGGCCGCCCAGCGCCGGAGCGGCGGCGGCGGGGAGGCGGCGGCCCCCGGGGCGGTGCGGGCCGGCCCCCAGCGAGCGGCCCCGCGACCCCCGCCAGCCGCGGCGCGGCCCCGCTGCCCCCGGCCCCGCTGCCGCCCCCTCCCCTACCTGATATGGCGGCGGCGGCTCCTGATCCGGCTCAGCCCCGTCTCCGTAGCTAGCTCTGTCCGACTGGGACTCGTGGAGCAGCGAGATGTCATCCGAGGTGGGGGACTTGAGGCAGTTCCCCATCTTTCCGGGGGGAGCGCGGCCCCCCCTCCGCCTCCTCCCGCTCCGGATCCGCGCCCTCAGCCTCCCCGCCGCAGCGCGCAGCCCGCAGCCGCCCCGCCGGGGAGGCTCATGCCAGCCCCGGCCCTAAGCGGCTTAGCAGCTGCAGCCCGGCCGCCTCCCGCTCCGCTCCGCAGCCGCCCCGACCCCCGAGCCGGGGGGGCGGCAGGACGGGCCTCCCACCCCCCGTGGGGCAGCGGGCTCCGGTGGGTCCGCCCGCCCCGCGGCTGCCCGGCGCGGTTCTGCTTCCCGGTCACCAGCTCCCTGCGCACTGGGCTTTGTCGCACGGGCCGCCCTGGCTCCTCCTCTCACCCCTCCCCGCCGGGCCCGGGGAGCAGCCGCGGGGCCTCGCCGGGCTCCGCGCCCCCCGGCCCAGCCGCGGGGACAGCCCTGCCCGCCCCCGACGGAACGAGGCGGGATGGGACGGGCTGGGGGACCCAGCCGCCTGCCGGGCTCCCCCGGCCCCAAAATGGTGGGAGCCGCTTCGCTCCGCCCCCGAGCGCGGTGTTTGTTTGTGTTCCGGGCATGGCGGAGCCGGCGGCCGCTCGGGCCCGGCGGGGCGGGATGGCAGCGGCGACCCCGCAGCGCCCGGCCCAGCCCGGCGGAGGGACTTGTGTGGGGCCAGGGACCTTCCCAGGGGCTCCCCCGCGGGCGGCTCCCCAGGCAGGGAAAGGGTTCCCCAGGCAGGGAAAGGGTTCCCCAGGCAGGGAAGGGGCTCCCCAGGCAGGGAAAGGGTTCCCCAGGCAGGGAAAGTGTTCCCCATGCTGGTCGCTGGCGTGACCCGAGGGGCACGGTCAGTGTAGGCACAGGGCAGTGAACACCAGAGTGGAGCAAAACCAGCAGCAGGCACTTGGCTTTTGCGTTTCTAAAGGTTTTTTATGCAATGGGCAGATACTCCAATAAGCCATATATTTAGCTCCTTTTTTTCCCCTTCACAATAATATATCCATACTTGGCTGTAAGTATAGCTAAGTACTGATAAATGCAAATTTGAGGACAGTGAATGCCCCTGTGTCCCTGTGTTAGCGTGCCCACACTGACCCAGACGGAGTGGAATATACAATGGTCCTTTGGTTCCTCAAAATGCGTCCTTGGCCTTCAGATTCACACCATGGAAAATACTTTGAAAGGAAATTTTTAAAGTGAAGTATTTTTTAAGGTGAAGCAAATGTGGTGCATTTGAGAGCAGCTGCAAAGTCCAGTCTGTAAAGCAGTACAGCGTGGCTGCTGCTTATCAGCGAGTTCTCTGCTGATACAGCTCGGGCCTGCTTTGCACCTCTTGGGTCACAGTATCTCCAGACCTGTTTTCACAGTGACATATTTGTCTCCACAACTTTTGCTGGTGGACCTCAGTCTGGGATCAGAGTTTTTGCTGATTATTCTTATGAGCTCATTCTCGTAGGTTTCATTTTATTACTGTTTAGTGTGGTTTGTTTTGCTGCTTATCAATGGGTAAGTTAAACAGCCCTGGTGAAAAGCCTATGATCGCTGCCATTTATGGTGTTCTAACACGGTTTCAGGCTTTTCAAGGAAACTGAAACTGAAAATGGGGCAGGATTGTGAGTGTTGCTCAAGATAGAGAGGCTTTGCAGTGGTGCATTGTAAATAATGACTGTTGTACGTGGCTTGCTCATTTGGGTGTTTATCCTCTGAGTCTGTTGGCTTGGTTTAATAGAATTAGGCAAGCAATTGTTGGAGGGGATCCAGTGTACCACTGCCTCACCCAGCCGTGATTTCAAGGTTAAGGCAATGTCAGATCTGTCTGCTGAGAGAACCTGGTTATGAAACTCCAGCGTTGTCACTGGTATTGTCAGTTGTGCAGTGGCACCATTGGGAAGGAGATTATGGGCTGAGTGAGCTGTTCTCTCCTGTTTTGTTTTCTCTGTGAGGCTCGGGCCCGTGTCATTGATGTAGTTCAGTGAAAACCACAGGTCACACTGTGCTGTGTGTGAGGCTGGGATCACAGTTTGATCCTCCACAGTGAGGAGGTCCTATGGGAACCTGTGGTGCCTCCCTGATGTGCCAGAATAGCCTTTCTTTGGGAACCAGAGTGCAAACTGGTCTCATCCTGACATGCAGTCAGGACATAGGTGGGATTTCCTCTGCATCTCATGGTGGAGATGTTGCATTCATTTACCTTGAGGCCAATCTCCAGAAGGAATAGCTGCTAATCCCACTTACAACTTTCCTCTTAGTAGGTACAGGATGCTCCAAATCTGGGCATGTTTTTAAAAAATGCAGACTTGTCAGGTGCCAGAAGAGACCTGCTTTTCATGGTGGACTCCCAGAGACCAAAGAGGAAGCAGAGGTTCACGTTTGGCCTTGCAACAAGACAGACTGCACCTGTGAGAGATCTGAAGGGGAAGAGCTGCTACCAGTCATGCTTGGGTTCTTTGAAGTAGAAGTGGTTGAAGGCACTGCTTTTCCTGGCTCTTCACTCCTGTTATGTCAGATAGGTCATTAATAGTGGCTTTGCACCACTGGCTCCAAAGTTGTACAAAGGTCCAGGAGATGGAAAATGGAAAAATGTTAGTGTTCACAAATGTCTTTTAATATCCCTGCATATGCTGAGGTGTAGCTGTGAGCCTGCTCCTTTTGCCACCACACTTTTTGCAGGTTGGGAACAAGGAAGCAGAGAGATGGGTCCTCAGAGGATGGGATTTATGAGTATGGTTTCTTTGTTTTAGCACAATCATAGGGCAGTTTAACTGCTTACTTCAGTTCTCTCTGATTTTTACTTCCTCTACTTAGTTTGGGGAACAAGTAACAGTCAGAATGGGTTTTCTAAAGCCTTAAAATGCTCATATAGAGGAAGAAAAATTCATGTAGTGGTTTAGGGCTGCACAAATACTACAGATGGAAAAGATCATGCAAATACAAAAATTTGTGTCAGACTAATATCAATGCAGAACTGGCAACACAAGTCAATGAAACCTTTTCTCACCTCTAGACATTTAAACAGTTGGCTGTTGTCAGAGTGGAAATGTTTATGTTCTGAAGTTTGCCAGTGTACAGAATTCATGTTCTGATACACCTCAATACAACAATGTCACACGTGGGTCTGTCCTCACCACCCTCTGGCAGCTAGCATCCTCTGAGTGAAATCTCTCTTTCAAAGCAGAATGGAAATTCAAGAAAAAGAGTTTTAAACTATGCAGACAAAGTTTATGTTTTATTTTACAGGCTTTTGATATGAGAGGAAGCAAGTGGCATATTGATGTATTCTTAAGGCTCATATGAGGTAGCTAGAGGTGATGAACTCTTTTACTGAAAGCTCCATTTCCTTTTGAGTTAAAAATCTAAAATTCACTGAGGACATAAAAAGTCCTTCTTGTTAGGAGTTCCTCTACAAAATTAACGTCATAAATTGCCTAATTTTTAGATGAAAGACCCTTTGATAACACCATTTTATGTGACCCAGGTTCATGTTATTGTTGGACGACATTTTGGATATGTTTAATATGTCATGCTTAACAAAAGTTTTTGAAAGACCTTTTCTGTCCTCAGCATGGAAAAGTTTTTTCACTTCCTTTTCTTCCATCAAGCTTATTTTCCCAGCACTTATCATCTCTCATTAGGTCTTATCTTTCTTCTGGATAGGATTGTTTTCCTAATTCATACACAGAAGCCCAGTTGACTTCTGAGTGCAATCTTTCCATGCCATGGTACCCAGAGGTTCAGAGATAACTCTGTTTGCTTGGGTAATGTTGGTGAATAGAACACAATGCAATTTTAAAACCTTTTTCTGGAAGGAAGAAAAAAAAAAAGGCTTTGTATACCTCTGGAGAATGGAAGTAAATTACATTCTTCCATTATGTATGTGAATCTGATTTTGAGGATGGTGGAATTAATTTATCTGGTTATAAAGGACATGGCATCTTCTAAAATGCACATGATTATTTTTAGTTTTGTTGATTTTAGCTGAACTGTAGACGTTTCTCAGTGTATGTTACAACTGCATATTGCTTTCTGAGACAGAGTGAATGCAGCACTAGAAAGCAATTATGGAACTAATATATTTCCCTGAAATGTACTTTGTGATGCAGGATTTTACTCATGTTTCTAAAAATTACTTAAACTTCTGCCTGAATTATCCTAGTATCACAAATATGCCACTTATATCAATTTATCCCAGATACCATCTTGGTAAGAAGTATTCCATGACTGGCAAGAATAACTTGCCTTCCATAATAACAGTTTTCCCCAGGTCCAAAATGTTTTTTTCACTGAGGAGTGGAATGCCTGCCTGTTCTGTGCACTGGGGCACCTGCGCTGTGAGCCACAAAGAACAGAAAAAACATGTATTTTGGGACTAAAACACCCAAGCAACAAAGCAGACAGTCATCACACAAAAGTATCCTCTTCAAACAAACCCTCTGTCACCCAGCTTCCTGGGGAATTTTGTGCAGGAATAAATTTTTTCTTTTTCTCCCTGTACCACATGTTGCCATAGTCTCAACTTCAAGAATGATCAGAGACCTATAAAACATGATCTGAGGGGGAAGATTGAAAGAATTGGGGTTGTTTAGTCTGAAGAAAAGGAAGGTGTTGGGAAAAATGGTAATGATCTTTCAAATATATAAAATTTTTTCTCTGCAGACAGAAGGAATCAGTTTTTCTTTATGTTCAGTGTGTCTAGGCCAAAAGGTGATGGACTTGGAGATTTAAAGTAGATCTTAGGAAATCATTTCAAACTGAAAATGTAGTTTGACAGTGAAAATGATTATCTGGGAATCTCGTTTGCTGAAGGCTTTGAAAGGCAGATTAGGTCACATGTCTCAGGAATGGTTTTAGTTGCAGTAGATTAGATGGAGATAACCCCAAAAGGTTCCTGGCTGGTTTATGATGTTTTGTTTCTCTCAGGTGATTTACAGCAGATGCTTTACTGCTGTGTTATTTTGATTCTCACTCTTCCTTATATCCTCAGAAAATGCCAGGAAGAAAAGATATCAGTAGGTAAAAAATTGGGTAAGTAGGATGGGTGGGGACGTTGCCAATAGCAGAGCACTAAGAAATCACAATTCCTGCAGGAAAGCTGCTGTGCTTGAGCAGCGTGGGACATGCTGACATGTCACATTCAGCATGTGTGACATTCAGCTGTCCTCCTGACAGGCTTTGGGACACAAGTGTTGGGCTGGCTTTCAACAAGTGCTGAAAGTGACTGGTTAGTCAATACCCAGAAATCAATGTTTTAAATTTTAATTTTAAATTTGAATTGGAGCTTCCCCTTTTGCTGTATTTGAGCATTTCCTGAATTTGCAAGGAGTGAACTCTATCCACAGTTAACCAGAAGCCAGTTTGTCAGACTTCTTTTTCCTCCAGTTCTCTGCAACAGTAAGGTAGTATCCTAAGTGCTTGTAATTCTTTGAAACTGAGTTGAGGTATTAATTTTTTTAGTTAAATATGCATTCTGCTGCAAAATTTAAAACACCTCTTGTTCACCTTCTCCATACTCTTCCTGTTTTTCTCATTTTCACCATTCTTCCTGTAGCCTAAAATCTCTGGTTTCTTCCTGTAGGTAACTGTAGGTCTTCTGCAATATCAGAGTGATAAAATGGCACTTGCAGAGATTCATGAGAACCTAGGGAGTGTGACCTGTCAACTCTGGTTGGCAACTCTGCCCAAGTCCAAGATGACCTATGTCTTTGTCATTCCTTGACTGAAAACAGTTTAAACTCTTTCTGGCTACTGAGTGATGGCTACAGGTACTGTGTTCTAATCCCTTGCTGCTTCACAGAATTTCCTAAGATTGCTGTAGGCCAAACTCTTTATTATGTATTCTGTATGTGTTGTTAAAGCAATTTTAGATATCTGGAAACTCTTACAGTGCTTTGTTGCAGTTTTTCCATATGGATCATGATTTGTAATGCTCTGAGATGTTTCACTGTCTTGCAGCCTCCTTCTTTGGTCCACTTTTCCAGTGAGCATGGCACCCCAAGCTGCACAGAGTGATCCAATTAAAACCTCAGTGTTTAATAAAGGAATATTATTTAGTGTTTACAAATTGATGAAATTTAGTGTCCTTCCTTTTCCCAACACATCATTGCCTGCAGTTTGTAGCTCCTGTCACTCCCTGTCCTTCTCCATGTAATTCCTCCCTACTCACATTTTCTTATTTTATGCTTCTCCAGATGATTATTCTGAAGGGTACAATTCTGCATTTCCTGCTGAAGCTCTGCTCTGTGACAGCTTAGCTGGATTGCAGCAGACAAGGTACTGGAGACTGAACAGAAGGAATGTGAGAAGGAACCATTGAAGATTTTGTACTAAAAGTATCAGATGGTTGTGAATGACTGCCCTTGGGAAATTCACTTTATCCTCTGGCCAGAAATGTTGCTTCTTAACTTTTAGTTTTGCTTTTTGATTAGTCTGTGTTTGTACAGCCTCCTCTTGGAGGGACAGCTGGAAATTTGTACCAGTGTTTGCTTTTGCCTGCTCAAACTACTGTGCTTCCTGAAAAAAAATTCTAGAAAACAACTGTATCATGCAGAAAACAGAAGCTATCATAAATTAAACATCTGACAGTATGAGAAGGAATACCAGAAGGTAATTGTACAATTCCTTAGTCTGTTCTGATTTTGGGTGTGTGGAGATTCCTATAGAACATGAAAATCTTGCTTGTTTACTTACATGACAAAAGAGGAAAAAGGCCTTTTTTTTTTTTTAGCAGAACATTCTGTTTAAACAAACACCACAGTGAAACAAGACAGCTAATGGTACTGTAAGTCCATTCCTTTTTTATTTTTTATAATGTTTAGAAATCTTTGTGTCTAAGAATAAATTATTTTTATTTTCATTTATTGTGAAGTGCGTGCCTACAGTTAAGTTTTTGTGACAGCAAACTGTTCCCTCTTTCAGTTAAGTTTACAAAAATTGCACACTCTGGGGAGCTACTTCAACTTTTATTTGGAGGCATTGTCATCTTAGCAGTGGACTTGCAGGCTGCTTCAGAAATTCTAGAGGCTGCATATTGACTTAGAAAATGGCTCAAAAGCCACCATTTGGTGTTTTGGTTGGTGTGTTGTTCCACAAACACTCCTTTGGACATGGGGACTGCACAGAATCTCTGCAAGACTCAGGGTGATTGCAATGCTGCATTTTGCCTCTGGCTTACAAGCTGTACACCAGCACCGTGCAAGGGTTAAGGACAAGATAAAATCACTTGCTGCTGTTTTGATTTCCTGAGGAAATGTTGTTTTTATGTGAGAAATGAGGAATGCAGTGAGGACCATTCCTGTGCCAAAATTTCAAAGTGTGTTCCTGTCAACTGTGGTGCCATTCATGGGTTTTACATCAGGATCTTGAATTTGGATATAAAGATCTCTGTTGTAGAAGCCCCATCTTGTGGACAACCAATCAATGACTACTTCAGCACAACTGAAATTTGGAATACTTAGAAAATATGGAGATATTTTGGTAGTTTTTGCAACAAATTGGAGAGTCTTCATGTTTCTGGAAAATATGGAAGCTTCATTCATGTGTAGAAATCAGCATGTGCTTTCCAAAGACTATTTCCATAGGAAGAAATTGTGAATTGCAGAGAGGTATCAACACTGGGGTGGAACCTAGGGTGGTGCCCTCAGAACCCTGTTTTAAGTCCAAATCAGCTAAAACACAAATCTGAACCCTGCCTTGAATTCCCCAAATAGAGTCCTGTAGCACTTGGATAGTACAAATGAGTCTTTAAGTGGCAAAATCATATAAGGGCAGAAGGACATCCTTTGAAAAAAAATTGTTAAGAGAGAAAGAATAACGAAGTATGCATGAAAACTGAATCTGGAAACTTTGGAAATATCCTTAAGGAGATTGTTTGTTTCAGCACAAAGTAGTGGATGAGGTCAGCAGCTTCAGACTCAGTGAGTCAACACACTTAGGAGGAAGTAAAAAGAGTGTGAAAACAAGCCTGTGATAAAAGCTAATTTCAGGTTTCAGTGTGACCTTGGTAGGATATATTAGATATATTCTATTAAATAGAATAATACATATAATTACAATGTCTTTTTGTTGCTCTGAAGAAATTGGGTTGCTCTATGATAGTTTCTGTTTCTTTCATATGCAGAAAGTAGGAACCTTCGTGATAGTTTTCTGTGCAGTAATTAAGGCTGTAATGAAGGAGCCAGAAATTGTGGCGACATCTAGGGAAGGGTTGGCAGAAGTGCCTCCAACTAAAACACCTCCCACTGAAACTGTGGCCACTTTTCCTGTGAAGGTGATGCATCCAGGGAAAGTTCTGTTGGAGTGGTTTATTTGGAAGGGATGCTGAGAGTAAAGGAGATTCTGGCGTGGGAACAGGGTGTCACTGCAGCCCCTTTGATGGCAGCAGGACAGGGGTTGCTGTTCCTACACGTGGGTGTCTGACTGAGTAAGGGGATTAACAGAGGCAGAAGTTCAGAATTTGGTCATTGCAAAGCCAGGAAAAAATTTCTTAGTCCTTACCAACAGCAGTCTGGATGAATCTGCACTTTTAAGACATACCAATTACAATACATTTTTCTATTTAAAATTATCCTTAGACGTGAGTGTACATCTGCCATTTCACAGTTAAGTTTAAAATAACTGTTTCTTTCATATTGAAATAATTAGATTTGAATCATTCTGTAGTCTGGGAATTTCATAAATGGTTCATATATAACATATATAAACCTGAAAAAATCACCTTCCTTAATAAGCTAACAGGTACAACTATAAATGCACATTATCAGTATATTACTAAAAAAATTCACAGAAATATCTGACTCCTTTTGCTTCTCATAGTCTTTTGGAACAGAATTCTACATTTTTGATGAAAGGCATGTTTGATGAATTGTCTGAACCAGTGCAAAACCTTTGAGAAAAAAGTATATTCCAAAGTCTTCTCCTTAAAGGAGAGAATATTAAAACTTTAGCAATATACAGGACTACAATTTTTACCTGAGAGCAAATTCTGCTGGAACCAGCATGTGCAATCAAAATCAAAATCTTTCTCAGTGTGAAGTGAAGCCATGAAAGGACCTCTGCAGCTCCTTTCTGTGGAAGTTGTTTCTTCCAGGGCAGACAGAGAACAGCAGATGCTGGTTGACCCCTCAAGGGAAGAGCAGATGAAGTGGGAACAGCTACTTAGAATTCCCTGCACTTAAATAATAAAGCAAGAACAGTCCAGCAGGAGGAGTACAGACAGATATTAGTGTGGTGGGAAATCTAGAGGAGCTGCAGCCTAGGGAAAGAAAATGAAGATACAAAGCTTGTCATGAAAGGGTGTTGGAAAGCAAGGATTTATTCCAGCAGTGTTGAGGGAGGGAATAAGAGCTGCTCAATCCCTGCTCCACCAGGTGAGTGCATTGTAGTACAGAGGAAAGACAAGTCTTGGTGTAAAGGACAGACTATTGCCTTATTCTGAGCAGAAAGCTCTAGAAAAAGTAATTATTGGTAAAAGCAAAGTGTCTGAAGGAGTAGAAGAAAAGGGTATCATTCAGTGATACTTCTTGGATTGGATTGTGTTATAAATTACAGGTGTTTGTTTATGCCCATATGAGTAGAAAGGGAACGGATTTCATCAAGGAGAGAAATTTGTTGTACCTTCCCTGCTTAGCTACAATAAAATGTTCAGTTGCAGAGGGTTCCTTGCTAAAAGTTGCAGAGTAGTATTTATCTCTCATAGATTTTTTTCAAGAGAATACAGCAGAACTGGAAACTCAAAGTTTAAGTGTAAACCTGCAGTAATCCACTGTCAGGAGAATTGTGTAGGTGTATAAAATTGATTTCAAAGGGAATGAAGAGGTGTGACTTGTGAATTGCTACTTTTTAAAGATAAAAAATTAGTTCACATGTAGGTCATGTTAAAAAAAGAAAGTAATTTTTTGTCCTTATCTCTTTATTATGCACATTTTTATAGATGTTTTCTTTGGTTGCCTGTAGCCTTTCTGCTATTTTAAATATGCTCAAAATTTTATTGAGATGAAAATGTTAAGAGATGTAATAATACTGATATATCAAGTGGGGCCATTTGAAAACAAGGCTTGATGTGTTATGCCAATACAAAACTAAATCCCAGCAGTTGAACCTTGAGCACTTGTGTTTGTGATGTATAAAATTGTTCCTTTAAAGCTGTCTCTGTCTTGTGTCCCTTCCTCTTCCAGCCCAGTCCTTTGTCCAGAGCTGTGATTGCTGTGACCCCACTGTCACCACCACAGGATTCTCTTCCCCAGGGGTGGATCCTGGTCCCTGTGCTGTGTCAGCCAGGAGAGGAGAAGGACAGACCCCTGCTGTCACCAAGGACAGCCCAAATCTCTCCTGACCCTCATCCCAAAAGGTTCTGTAATTTACAGTTCCTTATGGCAGGACACTTCTTCTGGTATTGTCATGAGCATTTTTAAAATGTTATCAGGCAATAATTGCTATCACAACTTTTAATTCTGTGTTTCTGTTTCAAATTTTCCTCAGTTCAATCAGAACCAAAAGTTAATGCCCGTTGGCTAATTTCCAGTGCATGCCTCCACAGAACAACTGCTGCCTTTAACTGGTGGAGAGATCAAGGCTTGAACTGACAAAAGACATCTGTATTTTGGAAAACAAATTAATGTTTATGTTTTAATTTATAAGTTCCTGGCTCTTTTATGGTTCCTGTTTTTCAAGTAATGTCTCTTTGGATCCCTAGCTGATGGAGAGTCAAAATGGAAAAGGCCCATGAGAGAATTATCACAATGGAACATCTGGTCTGCATTGGAAAAAGCTGAGAAAGATATTCAACATCTCTGAGACTGAGGCTGCCATGAGGCAGTTTGAAAGTCAGTCCATGAAAAATTGTGCAGGTTGTGGCCACCTGGGCCAATCTAGTGTTGTTTTGGGAAGAGTTACTCTGCTCATGAGCATCTGAATTTTAATCTCCCTTAAGCATGGAAATGTGAGAGCTGGGAGTGGTATGAAAGGTGTTTGCTTTCCATAATGTTAATCTGGGTCCCAGCATTGTCCTAATTATATTGTGGGTTTTTGCCAGTCTCCCAGATTTCTTTTGAGCATGTAGGCTGGAGTCAAAAGGCTTTCCCAGGGCTTTTGGCATAGCTTTACAGGAAAGTGGATGGAAAGGACTTTGTATATTTTTGCAAGAATATTTTGCATCCTGCTTTAAACTATTCCAGAAGGTAAAAGGACATTAGCTAGACTGTGTGTTGGCTCATGCACTGCTATGTCACTAATGAGAAGGAATTTTATTCCTGTTTTCTGCAGCCACAGACTGTAAGAAATGCAAAGAAATCATGGACCAGCCAGGGCAGTAAAGGTACCCCTGGATTCAGAGGGAGCAAACTCCTTCCACCACATGGAACTTTGGTCCTTTAAGTCATTATAGCTCATGCAGAACAGAAACAATTTGACATGTATAACAAGAAACATTGCAAATTGTTTGCCAAACAAAGACTTATACTGCAGATGGAAGAACTGATGAAAATTGTTTATAGATGGGGAACTAAATGTAGATTTTTCAAGAACAAGGTTGCTGTCTTCCTTGCCAAGACAAACAAATCTGATAGACCATCTCATTGCTTTAGGCTGCCTGAGGACCCACTGGAAAGTCTATGGACCTTTTTCCACAGAAAATTTGTGTGTTGTCAATACATAAGTGTATTGTCCACAGTTACACTGTGGCAGCTGCAGAGGAAGTGGAAGGTT